TTATAATGGCTGCCACGGAAATACTTTCGGTTCGCAGCCCAGATGTTCCCGATCCAGAAGGGACCACTGCAATCAGCTCTTCACACAGAAAACCACATCATCACTGCAGTAATGACAAACACACACAGTCAAGCCACACAGGGGCGTCACAAATTTCACAACTATGTCTTTAACGTCATGTGACTCCGGTATACACCTGTCGCTCGACTGGTCTGTACTTGTGTAGCGCCTTTCCGACTAACCAAAGCGCTTTTACACAACTTCACATTCACATATTCACACACTGAGCCAAAGTGCTCAGAACAGAAACCAACACTCACACGCCAACGGAACAGCCATCGGTAACAACAATTTGGGGTTCAGTATCTTGCCAAAGGACACATGCAGACTGAGGGAAGATCGAACCGCCAATCTTTCGATTAACGGGCATCCCACTGTTTCTCCAGAGCCACAGCCGCCCCTGTACTTACCAGTACAAGTATGTGTCGTTTTGGGAGTCACTGACAATCGACCTATTATCGGTATGAGCAGTGGGCCGGTATGCAGTACCGACATTTATTCTTTAGCGTACCGGGACATTTTCTTGCGTACCGGGACTTCTCCCAAGCTGCCGGTCCTCTCCTCTGCCCTCTCCATAACAGGATCTCTGGGCGCTACGTGACTCTCACCTGGTACGCTCTCGCCTGCCTGCTAAAGTCTGTTGGCGGAGAGAGACGAGAAGCTCGGTGTCTTTCAAGCAGCCGTGTGCTGAATGTAGCTCATCAATGTCAGTTTTGGTGAACTGACCAATCACAGCTTGGATGGGGCGGGACATTAAAAATTATACAGACAGGTGTCCTTCACACTGGGGACGCTGGGGACGCTGGGGACGGGAATCAGAATATCTCCATCACTTTTTTTGAAAGCTTTGGATAAAAATATTCTGAAAAACAGCAACTAGAAATGTTAAATAAAAAATGAATCAATGCCCAATAAGAAAACATGCAATGCAATTGAAATAAAAAAGAAACAAAAGTAACTTAAGCGAAAACAACAAGCTGCTGATTACTGAAATATATTCCATTATATTTTTATATTTTGAATATATTCACCTGCCACCTTAATTTTGTTTCCCTTCATATAAATAAAGGCATTTCCACCATAAATTGGTGCAGAAAGTGTCTCTAGAATGCAGGAAAGTGTTTAATGCTCAAAGTCTTCTGGGGGAGGACCCGAGACCCTCCCATTGATTTATTTCAGCATCGAATATCTATTCAAAATACTGTAAAATATCTTCTTGTCTTGTTCTCATGACCGAAGTGTGTCGTCACACCCCTAATCTGAGCCCTACCACTTTACAAACACAAAGTGACGCCCCAATCAGCAAACTTTTGAAACGTTGAACTCGTTCTGCATCAATGTTTGTGATGATGACAAGTTAGTTTTAACTAGACTAACCACGATGCATTTGTCTTTCACAATAATTTAAAGGCAGGCAGATTATCCAAATAAAGTGTGACCTGTAAATATATTACACATTTTACTTTGTATTTAATGTTATAATAGTGACTAGTTTTACTTTGAGGTTGAGGATTGTGTGGAGGGAGAGGGGGGTGGGGGGTTACTGGCACCTATTTTCCTATTTTTTCCCACTTCAAACACTGGGTATGAGGACATGTTGCCAACAATTGAGACTGAATTAGTATTAGTGCAAAACTTTTTTAATTAGTAAGTGAAATGTTTTGACTTGAAATCATCGTTTTCGCTTATTAAGTCCAAATCAAGTCTAGCTCATAACTTGGCTTTATTTTAGCATTTTCATCATGACTAGAATTTCAAACACTTTTTGTTATTCTTTTCCTGGCGGTAATGAGCTGAGCTGAGTCTGGTAGTTCCTATAATGGCCACAAAAGGGTGGACACAATAACAGAAACACATTATAATCTAATTTAACATCCCTGAAACAGTTAACTTATCTTTCTGTCATTGTCTTTAAACTTGTTCCTCAGTGCTTGTCGGTGACTTCTGAATATTTTTCTAAGTAGATAATTAATAACTAAAAGCTCTGTATTGTGGTAGAAAAAACAGGACTTCCCCAGAAAGAAAGGCTCAATTGAAACAAAACAAAATATGTACTCATTATTTATTTCATTGTATGTTTCACATTTTCACATTTAGTTTAGTTTCTGCAGGTAAAACTAGCAATTAATTTGAATTGAACACCTATTTTGTTTAGAATTAATACAAGATTAAATTTTTTCCCCAGGTAACCGTGTTACCACTAAATCATAATCCAAAAGAAGTTGTTGAGTGTCACGTAGCAGCATGCGTCAGCTTCAATAGAGGTCTGAATGTCGCTCACAGAGGTAGAAAGAGGGCAGAAATTCACTCTTCCTGCTGGTGGAGCATCAGACTGAAACATGCTGTGATGTGGAGAGGAGAAAAGCTTTTATTGTATTGAAATACATTATTCTATGTGGTGTTTTTGTTATTTTGTCCTCCACCTGTGTGGGTGGTTACAGGGCCAATAAGATTAGACATCATGGGATGCCACAGGTAATCGCTCTGATCCTCTGTGACCCCACGTGAACCTCAGTGTTATCATTGTGAAGTGTGTGGCTCCCTCTAGCTGGTGTGTTGGGTTGTGCATTGATATATAAAGTGAAATAAAGTTTTCCCTGCAGTATGTAACAAATATTTGTTGGTTCATTTATATATTTTTAACCCTCTTTTTCTGATTTCCTATTTCTACTTTTATATGATTGAATGGGGCTATTTAAAATGTGTATTATGGTATGCTAACCTACTTCCTGCTTAGAGATATATTCACGGGCAAGCCTTAACAAACAGATAAACAAAATATTTTTTACTTTTAGTTTACTGCAAGTAAAAGGAAAGTGTGCAGTTCCCTCTTAACCTTCTTCTAATGTAGCAGCCATTCAGACACACACAACTCAATTCAACGGTGTTTCTTTATTTCTATTTGTTTCTACATTTTACATCAATACTGAAGACATAAAAACTTTGAAAAACACAAAAACGTGGAATTACTGTATGTAGTGTTGTGAGAATGAGATAAATGTGAAGAAAAGGACACTGGAAGCAACTGGTTCTGGTTCTTGGTGGGCCTTCATAGATACCGTTTGACTGCCTGACACATATACAAGCCATTTAGTAAATTATTCGCCTGTAATTTAACTCTGATGGCCTGTGCTTTAAGACTGATAATTGTTGACTACTTAGCTCAGATCGCAGAAGTACAAAGTTATAGTAAGAAAGATCTTTTTCTTGATGTTCTGTATTTTAATGTCTCTCTGCAGTCTGTTGTGCCCTGACCTCTGCTCGCCCTCCAGAGACCTACGGTTGAACATGATCGTATTTCATATTAGACGTTGATGTCCAGTAAAGAGGAAGTGAAAGTCCGCTCTTGCTGACAACTCGACCCCTTAGATTAATAAAAAAGGTTTCCCTGACGACAGATGTGTGTAGGAGGCGTGAAAGGTGTGAAAACAAGAAGAGGGTCGAGAGTTTTCATCTTTTAAATCTATATTATTTGAGTTTATAATATTCATTAATACATTTTAAACCTTGTTTTTTGAGATAACATATTTTATATGTATAATAATACTAAATAATTGTTTTGATCAGCAAAGAAGGCGCCGTTTGCTAATGTGATATCAACAGTTGTGAAGAGAGAAGCATCTTCATTTTGTGACTATAGGAGCAGGGGAGGCCTTTCTCTCCTTTAAAGTCAGAAAGAGATGAGGAGAACAGAATGAGTGATGACATGAATTGATTTGGAGTGATGCATTTAAAACTGATTTTTTTGATTTGTGCATGCATTTAAGATTATGTAAGAGAAGGGATGTTAATTTATTTTGTTGAAGAAACGTGGCGTACCATATTTGTGTTAAATATTTAAAGGATTATACTAACATGAGTTATAGAGACCTGCATGATACGTTGATACCTTTTTTTTAACTTTATTTGGAGAATTGTTTGTGAACTGAGGCAAAGGGGTGTTGCAACTACTGGACAGAAGGAACATCTACCCATAAAAGGAAAGGTTTTGTAAAAACCAATCATTGTGACGGTCAAGTTCTGATTTTGAGATAAGGGTGGGGTCCTCCTTGTCTATTTCTTTATTAAGTTGCTGACCCTAGAGCTCTGTGCAAACCTTTTGGGGCTTATTGAAATTAAATAAGTTTCTCTTTGGGTGGACGCCTTAAGAAAACTAGAAAGAGTTTTTTGTCTCATTTTTTGTCTTTGTTTTCTTCCCTCTCTTCTGGACTGGTAAGTTAGTATTTATTTACTTTACTTATATCCACACTGCCTAAATTAGCACACCTCATTACAGATAACCAGCAAACCGGCTCTTTAAGGAGCTCATTTCAGGTTATGTGTTCAGTGCCCTATGGAATGTAAAGCGAGAGAAGGACGAGGGGTTGGCAGTACCTAGTGTTGGAACTAGCTTGTCACCTTTGTGGTATCTGAATTCATAATGCGCAAAGAGCACCCGGAGATGGTGACAACAAACCCGGAGATGGTGGCAACAAATAGATGTCAGAGGTCGCACGCCTGATACATTGGTAGATGTTTCACAGTGGGAATCGAACCCAGACCAAAGGCATGCATCTTTGGTTTCCAGGTGTGCCGTTCAAACTCTTTTGAAGAAGCACAAACAAAGGGGCAACGCTGAGGACTGTAGACGAAGTGGTTAGACAAGGAAACTTACAGATTCAGACTCAGCAGAGATGATATTATATGAGAAAGTTGATCTACAGGAGAAACATATCTGAAAGCAACACAGAATGACTAAGGGCTGCACAGACTTAATTTCTGTTGAGTTATAGATTTCTAATTGTAACCTGTCACCAATGTTGTGTTTCCCTTTGCATAAATAAAAACATTTCCAACTAAAAATTGATGCAGGAAAGACAGAAAATGGTGCAGAAAAGCGTTTAATGCTCAAAATTTTCTGGGGGGGGTGGGAATCCCAGACCTCCCCCAACTAACAGATTTCAGGATTCATGATAGAGACGCTATTGTCATTGTATACAAAATACAACAAAATGCAGTTTAGTGCAAAACATTGAACTTAGCAGCTTTGAAATATCATAAAAGCAATAAGCAATGAGGATTTCTATAAACCAGTGTTAAAAAACATCACATCTTGATATATATTTATATATGCTATGTACAATCCTGAGTCAAATTGCTTGTATGTGTACACATACCTGGCAAATATAAGCTAAATATTTATATATATATAAATAAATCCTGGAGAAGGACGCACCCATGACACCCATGTGACATTACAGTAACTTTTGTTCAACAGAGGAGAAATGGAGGAGTGTGACGGTCACTTTTTATTTGTTAACATCTTGGCTTCTTCACTGGTTGTTGACATAAGTGTGGTTCTGATACAGGAACAAAAGACGCGAGTGCAAAGATTGTGCAAGTGCAAGTAAGCCCCCCCGTCTTTCAATCCTATTAGTCATTGGACGGATAAATCTACATGTAACCAGACCAGATATTCTTTTTTTGTTAAAGTAAGAGTTTTAGGGTGAAAAATAAAAAAGGTAAATAAAGGGATCATAATAATAATAATTTAATATTTTCATTAATTTTGAAGAAGCTTTTATGATGATGTGTATTAGGTCAACCATGTTAGCTAACCTTAATAAATGTGTAATACAGTCACACATGGCTACAGACACTTTCAGTCAGTGACGCAAGCTTTTTTAAACACTAGTCTTTCTCCAGCTTTATCCTACAGTATAGTTATAACATGCTGGAGACAGCTGAAGCAGGTTGAGCACTTTTGGAATATGTTACAGCCCTGGTGGTGATGAGGAGCGAGGAGAGAGCTCATATGTTCTTGGCGTTGACTAGAACAACTTGGATGTTTCTTCTCTTCATCTCTCTGGACATCTGACACCAGCTGCAGGCTTTACAGAAAGTCGCATACACGCAGTCCATGCACATGGTGTCCTGCAAACAAAATACAGCGACGTCAGGTCCACGGCTGGACTGGGACAAAACATTGGCCGGGCCGAGGTTATCCACCACCACAATCAGTCGTACATCCCTCATCAATACACCATCCTTGCAGTCCTCTTCATTATTTGTACCTCCTGTAATATTCCTCCAAACCACCATAAAGCTGAGTAGTAGTGCCGTGGATGAGTGTACTCATTCACTCATTTACTGAATCCCTGGTGATCAGAGATGGCCACGGAGTACACAACTCATACTCAAGTACAAGTCAGCTTACAAGTTTTTTCAAAGAAAAAAATCTTATCTTATAATATAGTGGGAATGAACATATAGCTGTTTATACAATGAATTCATGGCATGCATTTAGCTAAGTATTCATTAATTTTAGTAACACGCTACAGGTGTTGTGTAATAGACCAGATTATAAAGTCTAATTTTATTAATGGAACCCTTTCCCTAATAATCTTTATAAGTTTTATGAATAAATAATTGAAGTTATCTGCCTCATAGGTGTGATGACCCACCAGGCATTTGCCCGGTATGCCAGATTACCAGTCCTGGTCAGGTCAACGATCTGATCGACAGACTGGACGTTACACAGGTGTCTGGTCACTGTGAACATGCTAAGACCGTCCTCAGTCTGACCAAGATTTGGGTTTTTTGGGAGGCGGTGCTCAGACGTTCCCGGAGGACATAGAAATCTGGAAAAATGGAGGTCCACACGTGTTATTTAACCACAATTATTACAGCAAAGAATTGTGGTCTTACTTTGATGCCATAGCGCTGCCGCATGGAGACCCTCATGGCCATGGTGACAGGCGGAATAATGCCGCCGAAGATTTCCAGCAGGGGGAGACAGAGACACTGGCCGTATTTCTTGGAAGTTTTGCAGGCAAAGCAGCAAGAGCACCAGAAAGCAAAACAACCTTAATCAGGAAAAACACAGAAAAGCAACAGCTAGACAACACAGACACACCTACAAACACTCACAAAGAAACACAATGATTTAAGATACAAATGAAGATTAGATAAAATTCTTTATCTGTCCTTTGTCTAAAACTACACTGCTCAAAAAAATAAAGGGAACACTTAACACAATGTAACTCCAAGTCAGTCACACTCCTGTGAAATCAAACTGTCCACTTAGAAAGCAACACCCCCAATAAAGGAGGAGCGGTTCTGCAGGTGGTGACCACAGACCACTTCTCAGTTCCTATGCTTCCTGGCTGATGTTTTGGTTACTTTTGAATGCTGGCGGTGCTTTCACTCTAGTGGTAGCATGAGACGGAGTCTACAACCCACACAGGTGGCTCAGGTAGTGCAGCTCATCCAGGATGGCACATCAATGCGAGCTGTGGCAAGAAGGTTTGCTGTGTCTGTCAGCGTAGTGTCCAGAGCGGTTAGACGGTCAGAAACAGACTCCATGAGGGGGGTATGAGGCCCGACGTCCACAGGTGGGGGTTGTGCTTACAGCCCAACACCGTGCAGGACGTTTGCCATTCGCCACTGGCGCCCTGTGCTCTTCACAGATGAAAGCAGGTTCACACTGAGCACATGTGACAGACGCCGTGGAGAACGTTCTGCTGCCTGCAACATCCTCCAGCATGACCGGTTTGGCGGTGGGTCAGTAATGGTATGGGGTGGCATTTCTTTGGGGGGCCGCACAGCCCTCCATGTGTTCGCCAGAGGTAGCCTGACTGCCATTAGGTACCGAGATGAGATCCTCAGACCCCTTGTGAGACCATATGCTGGTGCGGTTGGCCCTGGGTTCCTCCTAATGCAAGACAATGCTAGACCTCATGTGGCTGGAGTGTGTCAGCAGTTCCTGCAAGAGGAAGGCATTGATGCTATGGACCGGCCCGCCCGTTCCCCAGACCTGAATCCAACTGAGCACATCTGGGACATCATGTCTCGCTCCATCCACCAATGCCACGTTGCACCACAGACTGTCCAGGAGTTGGCGGATGCTTTAGTCCAGGTCTGGGAGGAGATCCCTCAGGAGACCATCCGCCACCTCATCAGCAGCCCAGGCGTTGTAGGGAGGTCATACAGGCACGTGGAGGCCACACACACTACTGAGCCTCATTTTGACTTGTTTTAAGGACATTACATTCAAGTTGGATCGGCCTGTAGTGTGGTTTTCCACCATGGGTTGATAAATTTGATTTCCATTAATAATTTTTGTGTGATTTTGTTGTCAGCACATTCAACTATGTAAAGAAATGAGTATTTAATGAGATTATTTCATTCATTCAAATCTAGGATGTGTTACTTTAGTGTTCCCTTTATTTTCTTGAGCAGTGTGTCTCACTCACATCAGATTTGTTGATTGATTTGATTTGAGTCTGTATCCTTAGGCATATAATTTTTTTTCAAAATATTACTTTGGTTTTCAAATCAATAAAGATAAAACGTTGTTTTTTTTTAATATATGTTGAACTACAGAGAAACAAGAAAAAAATACAAACAATGTCCTTTTATTTTTTATCACAAATATCTGGGCAAAAGATGATCAAAGTAGAGTTTAACTTGCACGTTTGCTCTTAAAAAGTATTTACATAAACATGTGCTATAAGATTAACAAAAGCTGGTGTGAGTTTTAGACACTTACACTCGGGCACGTCGTCAAAGCAGTCACAAATCCCAGATCCCCACTGATCAGACTCCCGGGAGACCATCACAGGCTGAGGCTGCCTGATGACCATCTTGGAAGACATGATGGCTTCGAAAGGAGAAACCAGAATGTAGAATTCAGGTTGCACTTTTGATACAAGGTACAAGGTTGTTTATTTGTCATTATATATATATACAACACAAGGTTGTATAATGAAAAGAAAAATTGTAGTCCCTTCATGCTACAAACACAGAACCCAACACACAATCAAATGTGTATGGCAACACTTAAAATAAAAAACAAAAGCCCTTTATCCCTCTCCTCTGAGCGATCACCACGCCCGCCGTGGTGCCATGTCTGGTAGATCGTGATCTGATCTAGATTGTGATCTGCTGCTTTTTACTACAAAAACCCTGTCTTCCTTTTCTAATGGCTGTATTTCCCTCAAAGGCACATGTTTCAGCAATAAAGCTTAAAAAAAAAACAGGTAAAACACAAAACGGTTGCAAAATTTGAAGGAGCTACCGGTTGCTGCTTCTACAAGTGCTGCCCAGTTATGATAACATAATAATGTGACGTGTGTAAGTTACAAGCATACACAAAGTGCCAACAACAAGTTCCTGGAAGTTGGTGATGCGCCTCCTACAACAGGAAACAAATAATTACAAAATATGTACTCTGCTTTGTGGTTTCAGTGAGAAAACATTTGGAACATCACATAGTTTTTTTTTTTAGAGAATTTGTTCTCTAAGATGTTGTAGGTTTCAAGGGGGTTTGATGATTGCTCATTCTCTAGAAGCATAAGAAATAAAATGGTAAACTGAGGACATATTATTGGGATTTTGTGAGTTTAAAGTGCAGACAGATCAGTTTATATGTGCACCTTTCTTACATTTGGTCATCCGAGAGTGTCGGTGAAGGAAATGGTGTGGTTAGGGCGGATACTCCGGGTTTCTTCCCAAGAAAAACAACCCTATCAGCTGTTTTAGCAAATACACAATAATCACATATGTTTACGTTAAAGTGACAAAGAACTTTAGCGGCCGTAGTAACAGCGACTCTCACATTTGGTGGAGGTCGGGGTGACTGGATAGTTGTCGTGGGACTTTAACACAAGAGACATTTCTGTTCATTTCTTGCTTCCTAACAGTAATCAATGTTGGTTTCTTTGAACAGAAAAACAGCTTGCAACAAGAAAATCATTGTCCAAAAATGCAACTTAAGCTGAAACAACAAGCTGCTGCTTACTGCATTATATTCCATTATATTTCTATATTTTGAATTGTCACCTGCCATCTTAATTTTGTTTCCCTTCATGTAAATAAAGACATTTCCACCATAAATTGGTGCAGAAATTAAGTGCTTAATGCTCAAAGTCTTCTGGGTGAGGACCCTCGACCCCCCACTGATATATTTCAGCATCAAATTTTTACTCAAAATAATGTTCAAATATCTTCTCATCTTGTTCTTGTGCCATAGGTACTTAAACAGCACACATACAATGAATACAAATAAGTAAATTCAATTCTTAAAATATTTTATTGTTTGCAAAGTCCTTCACAATCATTACGCGAGAAAAATTTGATGACACAGATACTAAATAAAGACAGGTGAAGAATAATATAAGCGAATATTCGCATAGACCACTATTTCTGTATTATAATAGTTAATGTCTCACCTGTGTGTCTCTGTGAAGAGGAAGCTCTGAGTTGTGTGTCCCGTCACAGCTGATCTCTGCACTTAGAAGTGTTGATTTCTCAGACAGAACACCTGAGAGACCAAACCAGACAAACCAGTCTGTCTGCCTTTAGATCACCCTGCGATTATTTATTATTTATCAACCAGCTGACAAAACGAGGGTGGAGTAATGATTGATCATTGCCAAACCCATGTCCCCACGCAAATGAGTGAACAGTAAATGAAATTGTTTTCATGAAACACAAAGTTTTGGATGTGACAGAGAAATCCTCTCTCTCTCAACCCAACCAGTCTAGGCAGCTGGCCGCCCCCTCTGAGTCCAGGTTCTGCTCGCTATTGATGTTAAAAGGAGTGTTTCCTTGCCACTGCGGCTTAAGTCCTTGCTCATAGTGGGATTTTTTGGGTCATACCTATACACATGCTGTATGAATATAGGCTACAAATAAATAACAGCATACCATATTAATTTAATTAGTTTTATTGAAAATCAATAATGAATGAAAATCAACTTGTTATGCGGATAAATATGCATATATACATGAAAAGCAAAAATAAAACTGTCAATTGCTGCATTCTGTATTTGTAGTGATTGTTTAAGTTGATTTATTTTAACTACAGTTGTATCGTATTTATAATTGTACCATCAAATATTAATAATACTACCAATAATAAAAATAATACAGATTTACACAACAATTCCAGCAGGTTGTCTGATAATAAACTCATGTTTTGTGTGTGATTCAGAACCAAATATTAAACAAAGAAATTGTACTCATCAAGAACAGCTGCTAACCTTAATAAATGTGTAATACAGGCACACAGTTATGGCTAGAGACACTTTCAGTCAGTGACACAAGCACTTTTTTATTCACTTGTTTTTCTTAAAGAGGTTTGGTCTACATTTTAATTATGACATGTTAGTAACAGCTGAATCAGGTTGTGTATTATTGGGACATGTCAAAAGCCCTGGTGGTGGTGATGAGCGAGCTCATGTGTTTTTGGCGCTGACTAAAACGATGGGGATGTTTCTTCTCTTCATCTCTCTGGACATCTGACACCAGCTGCAGGCCGTACAGAAGGTCGCATACACGCAGTCCATGCACATGGTGTCCTGCAGACAAAACACAGTGACGTCAGGTCAACAATCTGAATGCTTGAAAGGCTGGACCTCACATTTTCTTTTAATAATTAATTCATGCATTTGGTATACATATTTTCTTCCTCCATTTAGGATTCGTACAACATAAACTGTAAATAGTGGGCTGAATTATGTAATGTCAACAAAAACATTAATTTCAGGATGAATCTTTTTTTTGGGAAATCATTGACAGCTGATGACATCCTGATGGGTGTTATCTTCTGTACGTAAAACTATAGCTACAAATCTTTTTTACACACCCACAAGCTTGAATTTCTAATGCTACATTCAGACTGCAGGCCTTAATGCTCAATTCCCATTTATTTACCAGATTTGTTTTGTTTGACAGTTCACATTATTGGTTAAATGTTGCCCATATCAGATTCCAGTGTGAACCGTCCGCGGCCTGAAAGTGACATGCATGCGCAGAAGAATAACACGACATCACACGCAGCACGCTGTTGGCTACAGAAGTAAACAGAGCCACAGAGGTTAGAGAATCGGAATCATCGGAATCAGAAGAAGCTTTATTGCCAAGTAGTGTTTTACACATACGAGGAATTTGCTGTGGTGATAAGGTGCAACACGCAGACAAACATACAGCTGACATAAATAAATGTAGAAATATATAAATATGGAATTGAAGAACAACGTTGCAGATATATACATGTGCATTATTCTGGGTCTGTGCCGTGCAGACGTAACGCAACGGAAGAGAATATTGTGTAATGTAATGCGCTGCAGCCTGCTCCTGTCCCTGGCAGTGTCAGCAGCGTACCAGATGGTGATGGAGGAGGTGAGGATGGACTCAGTGATGGTGGTGTAGAAGTGCACCATCATTGTCTTTGGCAGGCTGAACTTCTTCAGCTGCCGCAGGAAGTCCATCCTCTGCTGGGCCTTCTTAGTGAGGGAGGTGATGTTCAGCTCCCACTTGAGGTCCTGGGAGATAATGGTGCCCAGGAAGCGGAAGGAGTCCACAGTGGTGACGGGGGATTCGCACTGGATGATGGGGGAGGGTGGGGCTCTTTCTGAAGTCTGCGACCATCTCCACTGTCTTCAGAGCGTTGATCTCCCACCTGTAGGCGGACTCATTGTGGAGCTGGTCAACTCTGAGGAGGGGGGAGAAAGAAGTGGTGGACTGAGGCTGAAGCTGAGCGGAGGAGTCACGGGGGATGGTGTCCGATCGACTCTCAAAGCGGCAGTAGAACTGGTTCAGCTCATTTGCCAGGCGAGAGTCGTTGATGGAGTGGGGGGCTTTCTGTCTGAATCCCCTCCAGACAGAAGTGGCATCATTTGCAGAGAACTGGTCCTTTAGTCTCTCTGAGTACAGTCGTTTAGCTTCTTGCATCTCCTTGCTAAACCTGTACTTTAAAGCCCTGTCACCACTCCTATATGCCTCCTCCTTTTCTGACCTCAGCTGTCTGAGCTTAGCGGTGAACCAGGGTTTGTCATTGTTATAACTCACCCTGGTACGTGTTGGAATGCAGCTGTCCTCACAGAAGCTGATGTAGGACGTCACAGCCTCTGTAAATTCATCCAGATTGTTGGTAGCATTCTTTAAAACATCCCAGTCAGTGCAGTCCAAACACGCCTGGAGGTCCATACACTACAGGTTTACAGAGCTTTAGTTTGTCTGTAAGCAGGAATCAGATGGACCATGACATGATCAGAGTGTCCCAGTGGAGCGCGTGTGACGGCGTGATAGGCACTGCTAACTGTGGTGTAACAGTGATCCACAGTGTTCCCCTCTCTGGTTGGACACTTTTGTGGAGTTCTTGGCTGAGATTTCCCCTGTTAAAGTCACAGAAAACAATAACAAGAGAGTCCGGGTTTGTCTGCTCCACACACAGTATCGGTCACATAGTTGGACAGCATGCTCTGTGCATCCTGAACGTTGGCGTGCGGCGAGATGTAGACACCGACCAGAGTGAAAGAAGAAAACTCACGGTTGAAGTAAAACGGTTTACAGTTAATAAGAAATTCCAGATTAGTGCTGCTGATCCCGGCTCTTTTCCCTCTCCTGCGGCGCTTCACAGCGCAAACAACAGCAAGAGAGTCCTTCACCAAAATGTCTAATAATTCCACTGATGACGCGAGAAAAGTGGGAATTAAATCCGCTGGAGTTGTTCCCCTGATGTTCATGAGCTCCTCCCTGGTGAAGAGCACCGGGAATCACAGCCGAAAACTGAAGTAACACACAAAAACAAAACAAAGCGCACCGAACACCGAGGCAGCTATACTCAGCGCCATCTTGGAAGCATTTATAAAGCTCTGGTTAGCTCACGGGAGACTCACGTTTTTCATCGTTCTCTCACGGGTCACGTTTCTCCCGAATTATGACAAGTGTTCACAACTTTCTATTCTTTTCATTACGGTTTCTGGCGCTGGACAACGCAACTGCCCCATGCACGTAACTCAGAAGAGAGCTTGCGATCCGGTGGATTTCAGGGAATTTGTGTGCAGACGATAGCAAGGTAAAGGAGGAAGAGAGCCACGCTTTTGTGGAGCTGTTTCGTTCACCGTGGCTCCGTCTGGCGGCGAGTGTGCAGACTGAGGTCGCATTTATAAAGATCCGATCTGTATCGGATTTGGTCCACATATGGAAGTGGCCCAAATCCGAACTGAAAAAGATCAGAATCCATGTGACTTGGCATGTTCACACTGTCATAAAAAGATAGCATTTTCTCTTAAAAGGTTTTATAATATTTCTACAAAACATAATTTCATTAGCTTGTATCTTTTTGACTATTAATTGTAGCCATAAAAAAATATTTTGTAGTAAATAAATAATACATCTAGACTATAAATGATTTATTTTAAATTTGTCAATTGTCTGACTTGTCCTCCATAAAATTAAACATATAGTAAATATAAGTCAAAAGATTACAGAATCAGACTTTAAGGCAAAAAGGGATCCAACCGTTCTGCCAACTGACAACAATAACAACAGCAAAGAATGGTGGCCTTACTTTGATGCCATAGCGCTGCCGCATGGAGACCCTCATGGACATGGTGACGGGCGAGATGATGCCACCAAAGATTTCCAGCAAGGGGAGACAGAGACACTCGCCATATTTCTTGGAAATTTTACAGGCGAAGCATGGACAGCACCAGAAACCAAAACAACCTTAACCAGGAAGAAAATACACAGACCAGAAACAGATAAACAACAAAGATACTCAAAAAAGCAACAGGTCATAACAACCTAAACAACCATATAGGTCGTTTTAACCATGTCTCCCAACACAAAGCACATGAGCATTTCCCAAATTAGTCGGCTAGCTGGCTACACACATTGGCTAGCTAATGCTACAAAGCTAACAAGCAAACTTAGCTAATGCTAATAGGCAACAAGTAAGTTACACAACCTACGTAACTTCATTAAAAAAACCTAAATCAGTCTTGTTTCACACAGGAACCAAAAGCCGGTCTCCTGGGTGAAAGCCCACAAAATTACTATCCGTCCACCCAAGCCACTGCCTCGATGATGGGACTTTCTGGCTATTGTATTGTGATCAGGGCTCTCAAGTCTCACGCACACCTTGTATTTCTCACGCTGAGAAGTAAGTTAAGAGATAACGCCCACGAAGTTGTCCCGCTATGTACAATTAATGGACAATCATTTTTCTGCCGAGTTCATAGCTTTCTCTGTACTAAACGCCAGAGCCGTATTAAGACGATCAGAAATTAAAATGTGTTGTTTCCGGGTAAATTCTGTGATCCCGCTGCAAGCACGTTTGTTAGGTAACATGGATGCATGTGTGCACACGGAGTGAGTGGAAGTTGGAAGTGCAAGAACCGATGGATGCGGTAACTGTAGGTGCCGAATCTTTTTTGTTTCTTTCGACAAAATCACTTCCCTGTGATCAAAGATAGTGAGAGCAGCTGATGTTGTGGAGTATCCTGTAGCCAAATTCATGCTAAATGATGACTGATGCAGACAAAAACTCTCCAACATCTTACAACCAGAAGCTTTGGCTTTTTCGCCACCTGGTGAACAAAGTTACTTAGGTTACTTAGATCCTTTTTTTTCTTTTAATAAAAGTGCTATTAGGCCTACCTCGCTACCTCGATGTAAAAATACTCAAGTACTGCATTGAAAAAGAAAAATGTCCCATGTGACTGTTATACTATTAGACTATATATCATATCATTAGATTATTATTCCTCATGCATTAATGTAGTTGGTTGTGGTTGAACTGTTTTTTATCAGACTGCTATTAATAATTATTTTTAGTATTAATCAGCTGATTATTTTCTCCATTAATCGATTGTAAAAAAAATTCTGAAAATAGTGAGAGAGCCCTGCATGACACCTTGCATGCTTGCTTTGTCAGTCCAAACCTCAAAATCAATAACAATACATTAAAATAATAAAAAGCAGCAAATCTTCAGGTTTGTAAAGCTGGAACCGTGAAATGTTTTTACATGAAAAATGACCAATGCTAAATCAGATGCCAATTCAGTGTCTGTCAATTAGCCTAACTGATGTAGTTCTACTAGCTGGACTTGTATAAGCTGTTAAGTAATTAAAATTATAGAAAAACATCATATTTAAAGCTTATTTTTTAAAGTAACTGAAGGGCAAGTTCTGCTATACTACTACTAGGCCTATGTGTACAATATGCATTCAGCACTGCTGTTCATTGGGCTCGTTTGGGGCCAAATCTCTTTTTATTTTTGATAGGCTACATTTGTATTTTTGACATATAAGTATCAATAGTCTTTTATCAGATTTACCTATTTTTAGCATTTCTATTTGTTCGGGTCAATTATAAACTATAGGTCAAATTTAACTGTTAGTAAAAACTTGAGAGAATTGTCTGGGGCCGAGGGGCCGCTGCTGGAAATATTTGAGTGGCTCCTCCTCTAACATGCGTTATTGTGATTGTGATGATATGTGACCATAGTATGTAACCCCTCTTTCTCATGTGCAACCGTTGTACGGCTACTAGAGGTCACAGCCACAATAGATGTAAACTAAATTTGTAAATTTGCTCATTTGCTCTTAAAAAGTAACTAGATAAATATGTGATGTCAGATTTTGAAAAACACTTGATTTTAAAAACATATTTATCAGTTTACGATCCAGCGTTTGCACTGGTTTCAATACAAGACACTTACACTCGGGCACGTCGTCACAGCAGTCACAAATCCCAGATCCCCACTCTTCAGACTCCCGGGAATCCATCACAGGCTGAGGCTGCCTGATGACCATTGTGGAAGACATGATGGCTTCTAAAGAAGAAACCAGGATGTGGAGTTCAGGTTACACTTTTAACGTCACGTGTGTAAGTTACAAGCATAGACAGTGCCAACAACAAATTCCTTGAGGTTGGCAATGTCTCTCCTACAACATGAATCAAAACTATTAGAAAATATGTACTCTACTTCAGTAAGTTCTGTAATATGTTGCAGGCTTAGAAGGGGATATGATGCTTGCTCATTCTTTATGAAATGAGGAGGATACCGCTCTTGTGGTGCTCTGATGACCGGTTTGTTTGAAATGCATTAGCATAAACTGAGGACATAATGTTGGGAATTGGTGTGACTAGAGCAGGACCTTCACAATTCACAGCGTATGAGGCCAAGTGTAAAGCACTTATGATAAAATAACTATATAAATATAAATGCAGCTATTTATTTATTTTTATTATCTTTTGATATGCACCTCATTAATATTTTAGATTTTAGATTCACACTCTTTCCTACTTTGTACCCCAACTACAGCACGACAAATTTCTATCTTATAATCGCATGATAAGATTAAGACTTTCTTCCTAGGAAGAGTGACAGAATCAGTTGTTTGAACATATGTTCAATAGTAACATATGTTAACAATCAAGTGACAAAGACCTCTAGCGGCCGTAGGATTTAGGATTAAGATTCCCTAACTTTAACCAAGAAGTTAATAATGTATCTATGACAAACATTAATTAATTAATGGAATATACATCATTTTGTATTTGACTTTCAAAATGGAAATTATACATTCTCATAATGACAAACACATAAATGTTGTAAAAATATGTATCTAAGAAATGTTTTTTATAAGGTTGAGAAAGGTCTTCGGTAGATAAACAGCACACATTAGACTGAACTATGAGGATACAAATAAGTAAATACAATTCTAAGAATTTATTAAGGTACTTTAAGGTTTAAAAAGTCCTTCACAAAAAAAGCATAAAATCATTACAAGAGACAAATTCAATGGCGCAAATACTAGGACAGGTTAAAATATGTGTTCAGAACACTATTTCTGTATTGTAATTGTGGTCTGATCCTAAAGAACACAGTTAATGTCTCACCTGTGTGTCTCTGTGATGAGGAAACTCTGAGTTGTGTGTCTTGTCACGGCTGATCTCTGCACTGAGAGGCTGTCATTTCTTACTTCAGAAATACCTGCAGACAGCAGAACACCTGAGAGATCAAACCGGACAAACCAGTCTGTCTGCCTTTAGATCACTATATTTTTTGCTAACCAGCAGACAAAATGAGGGTGGAGCCATCATTTGATCAATGGCCAAACTCATGTCCTCCGTCATAGGCAAATGAGTGAAGATTGGATTAAATTGTTTTTGTCTTGCCGATCTAATCGTGTTCCAGTCACAATGTGCTTGCATTTACAACTGACACTCAGGATATCCAGATGCAGATCACACATAAATGGCGCTTCACTGCTTCTAAGTGACCCATCCGCTCTTCCTATGTAGTTGATGAACATCTCACTTCTAACTCTCACAATCTTTGGGCAGAGAAACAAGTGGTTGAAATGGCACAAACTGAGAACACTCTGGAAGGATTAAATTTCCCAACAGGACTGAAAACACCTCAGGATCCACCAGAAGGAGCTGGAGAATGTGGCTAAGGAGACTGATGAACTGTCCTAGTTATATAAAAGAAAATAAAGTCGTAGGTTTTACATAACAGCAGTGTTACAGCTGATGGTCTGAGTTTGACATTCCTTTTCTTGTGTTTGCAAGTTGACGATGAAGATTTTTCTGCGCCTTCCAAAATGACGTCTTTTAAAACAACTCATACAACTTGTTTTCTACATGGCCAGTTCAGTTGATTAAGTTTATACGTTGTCATTATTTGTAAGGCCACAAAAGGTCTTACAACCAATGCTGTTATTATTCTGGTAGGTTCTTAAACTCAGAACTTCTTGGTGAACTTTAATTAATCACTTTTAAAAGTAAAAGAAAACTTAAATCTGTAACCAAGGCCTACGAAATACAGATCAGCTACATTTCTCTTTTACTGTGTACAGGAAGTGAAAATGGACGGGAGTTGGCTGGAAAATCTGGTCGCAGAACAAACAAGTCATCCTGTTGCCTCACAAAGTATTTGAATAATGTGGATGTGACGCAACATGTGGTTCTGGGACCAAAAGGTTGTCCTTTTGTTTGTCCTCCTCTACAAAATCTGGGTAGGCATTGTGAGAGACTAAACCCCCCCCCCCATCCTTTAACAATTACTGTTAAGAAACCTTTTAATGAGGCGCAACATCACCTGCAAGCAACAAACCACAGTAGAGGCTGTGGATGTAGGAGAGCAAGGCCCAGAAAACATGCGATGGACAGAAGATACTGTCTGTGGTCAGCTGAACAAAGCAACACAAAGATGACAATGATAAAGAGCATAGGAGTTAAACAAAATTTAGACAGATACAAATGTATTTGTTGGTGCTTAGTTACCTCGTTGAGCTAGAGGTCAAGTCTCAAGTCTCTCATGGTTATGATGAATGTTGTATCACCTGCTGCGTTCAATCCAGGCTGCTTATAAAACTGCAGAGCAATAAGGAATTCTGTAACTGTAACCTGTTTTTCACTTACAGAGCACAACCATGTGATGTGCAATGCAATTAACGACAGCTTATTAACTGCTGTAAGTCAACACGTCCCCCAGACTCTCAAACCAAAGTCTCATTAATGAAATCAGAATGGAATCAAAATCAGGTTTATTGCCAGGTACATTTTCACATAGGAAGGAATTTGCCTTGGCGAAGTTCACAACATCAGCATTACGCACAGTTGTTGTTGTACAGTGTGGCGTCAGGAGTGTGTATGAGTGTGTGTGTTTGGGGAGGGGAGCATGAGAGTCAGTGACAGTGGGGACCCGGGCCTTGTTGAGGAAGCCCACTGCCATCGGAAAGAAACTTTTGGCGAGAGGTTTCAGTCCTGATGGACCGCAGCCTCCTGCCAGAGGGGACAGTTTGTGTCCAGGATGGGAGGGGTCAGCTGCAGTCTTTCCTGCATGCCTGCTTCAGGGTGGATGTGGAGACAGAGTCCGGCCCCACTGCTTTGCTGTGGCCGATCAGTGGTGTGACGGGGGATGGTGTCAGGTCTGTCCCATTGTCTTTCAAAGGGACAGTAAAACTGGTTCAACTCGTTGGCAAGGCGTGAGTCGTTCATGGAGTGGGGGGCTTTAGGTTTGTAGCTGGTGATCAGTCTGAAGCCTCTCCAGACAGAAGCAGAGTCATTTCTTGAGAACTGGTGTTGTAGTCTCTCGGCGTACAGCTGTTTAGCATCTCACACCGCCTTGCTAAAACTGTACTTTGACTCCTTAAACCTGGCCCGGTCTCCACTCCTAAACGCCTCTTCCTTTTCTTACCTCAGCTGTCTGAGCCACCAAGTCACCAAGAACAATAACTAAGGAGTCTGGGAATGTCCGCTCTATCCATTTACATTTATCTGACGCTTTTATCCAAAGCAACTTACTATTGCTATACATGTCAGAGCTCGCACGCCTCTGGAGCATCATTTCCATTCAGCTCCTGAAACTGCCTCAGCCTCCCCTGAAACTCTTTGGAGGCCCCTTATAGGGAGGCCCGCCTCACACTTTGAAAACCCCTGGTTTACAGTGTATCAGTAAATATTCCAGGTCATGAGAACAGTGCTGCTGAATCACTGTCACATCATTACACCAGCAGCTGTTAATGTATAAACAGACACCTCCGCCTTTTGTTTTCCCAGAGAGTTCCGTGTCGCGGTCCGCTCTGTAGACCTGGAAGCCAGCCAGCTGCAGCGTGGAGTCCGGTATTGCTTCACACAGCCACGTCTCCGTGAAGCACAGAACAGAAGATGAATAAAAGTCTGTTTTTCCCCACCAGTAGCCGAAGTCCATCCAGTTTATTGCACAGTGAGCGCACATTGGAGAGAAATATTCCCGGTAGCGGCGTGCGGTGTCCTCTTTGGCGTAATCGCACCAGCGTACCGGACCTTCCCCCACTCCTCCGGCATGAACAGCAGAAAGTGAAGCCTTGACCAGAATGTCCAATAATTCCACTGTTGACATTAGAAAAGTCAGAATTAAATCCCCTGATGTTTATGAGCTCTTCTCTGGCGAAAGGGCTCCGGGTATCACAAAGTTAACAAATGTAAACAAACAGAGCGCACCAAAATAAAATTTTCAGGGCAGAAACTACCTTTCAGTCAATTATCAGAGGCTGCAATCACTTTCTGGCAAGTGAAATACTGCATGTTATGGGTTGTATTGGACATTTAATGTATTTTAACAGGTAAAAATTACTGGATTGGTTGGAACACAGCAAGTGAAATAATGCCATAAGTCATAAGGATGTTTTTATTTTATATATAACTCAGCAGTACATCATGTTATTAGGCTATAGTCTGTTTTCCAAATATAATAAATAAAATATTAGACATACGCCTACCAAAGACATATTCCTTCGGCAACAACAGGCTTCTATTATTGTCTATAATCACGTAAATATCGGGCCAGATTATGCTATAAACTGCAAACACAATTGTGATTATTCCATTAAAAGAAACGGTTTCACAAAGACATACCTTTGCTATCACCGCAGACATAAAGTGATGTTTATTTGCATGTTATGTCTGTTTGATTCAGATGCAACTGTAGTCGGAAAGAGACAGGGTGATACAGCTTTAACATATGCAAGCGCTCCCACGGACGGCAATCAGTCTTCAGCAGGAAGTGTTTGTCGTCCTCTGTGTGGCCGCGTGCAGAAGGTAGCTGTGTTATGTAGGTAGGTTATGGGTAACATAGGGAGGGGAATAACAGCAAGCTCGTCAGACGTTTCCTAAAAATAAACATTGTTCGCATGCCCTTCAGGTGACAAGAATGAATTTGAATGAAACAAAATTTAAAGACAGCAGGGGGCTATGGCAGGGTATTCAATCAATAACTACTCACAAAAGTAATCATGTTACCCCAGATTCTGAACCTAACTTGCCTGATGAGCTGAACAACGTTATTGCAAGTTTGACAGCAAACCCAAGCTTGCAAGCACTGGCCTCTTGCACAACAGAGTGTACCACCATGTTTTACGTAAGTCCGCTGTGATGCCATATACCTATACCTACATATACCTGTGCATTAGAAACCTACGAGACTATAGACCTGTTGCTTTGACATCTGTTATCATGACAATCCTTGAATGCCTGGCATGTTACCATCTCTCCGGTGTTGTTCTATGGTCTTATCAGTTTGCATACAGAGCAAACCGTTCTGTTGATAGCGCTGTTTCATTGTGCCTGCAGTCAAGGAAGGGTTCGGTTTGTCGATAACAGCTTTCAAGACTATTATCCCATCCACGCTGTATGACAAACTCCGTTATATGGGAGTTGAACAGTCCGCCGTGTCAATGGATCTTTGACTTTTTGTTGGAGAGGACCAAGCAGCAACCACAGGGGGATTTAAAATTAAGCCACTGCGGACGTGCCAAAAGCAGCAGTTCCTTGAATGGCCACTTGAGGCCGGCTCCAAAAAGTGAATCAATCCCCATAGATCCCCATGTTAAAATGCCCAACTTTATAGCAGAAATCACAAAACACAAACACATTCATAAAAAACTGTTTTTGTCTATATAACTAATTTCCCCTTCATGACAACTGTGTGGTGTGAACTTTTACATAACTTACCCATTTAAATCATATTATTAATTTTTCTGACCACCCGCAGACAACAGCGCTGGTATTTTTTGTATATATAAAGCTATGCTAGGCAAACTCCCAGCTTACCTCTGAACCCTTCTCTGTCTCAATTCTGCAAGTTACCAGCTACGCTCCTCTAAGTGGTTGCTTTTTAATGTACCCCAGGTTTTGCCAGATCTGGGGAAAACTGCATTTTCATACTATGCACCCTCGGCATGGAATAATTTGCAAAAAGATCTTAAACTAGAAACGTGTATCTCAATTGATATATTTAAGAGTGTCATAAAGAATGTGATGAAGGAGACATTACAAAGGTTATTTTTCTTGGGAGGCCATTGTGTTTGAATAGAAGTATTTTTTTATATTTTGACATGTTGTATATGCAGCATTTTAATTAAAGTTGTGTTTATGAATGGCTGCTACCTTGGCTAGGTCTCTCTTGTAAAAGAGATTTTCGATCTCAGTGAGACTTCCTGGTAAAATAAAGATACATTCCTGGGAGTGACAGTCTGCTCTGCCTTGAATGATCGGGGAAAAAAACACA